GCGTGACTATTATTAAATTATAAGTTACGCTCCATAAATCCGAGAGTAGCCATAAACGTATGAGGAATTGAATTTTCAGAAGTTTAAGCTTTTAGTTGCGAAATATCAAATTTACAGTCTTCGACTTTCTACCTCCGCGAGATCATTCCGAAAAGGATTTTACTTTTACAAGATCATGCAATGTTAAGTCCATTTACTTTAATAATACATTCTTCGACAAAGTTGGAATTCCCTTCCTTGATATAAAGTTTCAGGAAGACTTCTTCATTTCTCTCGTGATTTGATATACGCGAGCGCAATAAATCACTGCCTCAGCCATAAAAATGCTGAATGCCAATGCCAAAGAGAGATGTTCTGTAGCAAGTAATATAATAATGGAAATCAAATAAAATAATGGATTGTTATGTCGTTTGGCCTCCGTCGCGGAAGTAACGAAAAGCGCGATAAGCCGGAAGTAAAAGAGAAGTCGTCGCAATGTTCCAGCCCTGCTGCCTCACGTGCAGCGTTTCAGTTACACGATTTGCGCATCGTGCATGCTTTTTTATCTCGTTCGCGATTCCGCGCACATAGGAGGAAAAAACACGCTCCTGCCGTCGTATCATCGTACTGTAAATACGCACGTTTGTCGATGTAGGCCGGTATCGCTCAGAGGCGTTAATCTGGGCCACAGTGCGTCGGCCTCGGGGCTAGAAATATCGCGTGAGCACACACACGAAGCGAGAGAGCGCTCGAGCACGATTATAACCCTCGTACGATTGAATCGCGTTTGATGTACACGAGGGCATGACTGTCCCATCGCAAACTATTGCAAAAAACTAGCAGCGATGATGTTTTTTCGCAGAAAAATACAGTAACGCGAATCTTTAATTAAAAATTCATTTGCTAATGTACTCGGATACGGACACACCCTTTACCTATATTTGTGTTGTGTTAAATTATTTTTATGTATGTGTGTGACATATGTATAAAAAATGATCTAATATGACATATAAAGTACTTCAAAATACATTTTTTTTAATATTCCAAAATATATTTCTTTTTGTCTTAACGGTAATATTAATAATGCAATTGTTGGAATGATATTTCAAATACATAGAAAGGACGATTTTGCTAAAGTATCAAAAATTTGCTAGACACAGTTCTAAAAATAATTTTATTGGATTATTAAATTAAATTATATATAGGGGGGGGGGAATATCCAGCATGATGAGCAATGTAAAAAAATTTTGATATTTTGATAACTAGTTTGAGCTTCTTATAGATAATTAATTTGATAGTCCAATAAAATTATTTCCATACCTGTATTTAGCTAAATTTTTAGGTACATAAGCAAAACGCCCTTTCCGTGTAGCAAACACACGTGTGTATGTTTCGTAACATTTTGTAAAAATTTATACTTTTTACTTATCTTTATGAAAGTTGGAATAAAGAGAAGATAAATACGTAGTAAATAATTAAATTCTTCCAGATCACTTTTTTTGTAAAAAGTTTTACACTCTGCGATTTTGTATTAGTATTATTACGAGTTGACGGATAAATGTCTGTGACAGTTGCGTAAAGGATTGTGTATATAAATCGAATAAAACATGTATGACTTATAAAACATATCAAAGCAATGGACTCGTATTTGAAGCTCGCGTTTGCAGACCGAAGTATAGTAACAAAAAGCATCAAAGGATGAAGTGGATGGAATATGGATATTTTTTTCATAAGAACATATGTAAAAACTTTCTTTTTCTATAATATGATTTAAAAGTTTACAAAAATCGTATTACATAATAAATATGTTTTGACGAAAATACAGGAAGAATATAAAAAGGCATAATAATATTTTGCTTTTTGTGTAATGCGTTATGAATAAACTATTAAAAAATAATAATTTAATGTAATAAATTGAGGAAGGATATATTTAAATAATTAATAAATATCTATTTATATATAAAATTTTTAAAGAATATGCGCAAAGACGCATCCCATAAAGTGCATTGTTATTTTCAATGTTTTATCATTTGGTGTTGCCGAAAACTAGACATCACTGAAGTTAGGAAAGTATTTCAGGAATGCACGCAATGTCGCCCGGCTATTTTTCATCGGTTACACACATGCACACGTAACCGGATTACGTGGACCAAGTTAAAAGTGGCAGAGCACAGCTGTCTATGAGCAGCAGCCCGCGTTCATTTCTCTCTTCTTCCTCTACCGCGAGTTGCGACTTAGGGAAAATCCGACCCTTTAAATTATTGCACGGACTTTACTTCAACGATGGAGCTTGGAAACAACCTCGCGGACTTTTGTGGTTTATGGGAAAAGGAAGAGCGAACTTTCCACGTTTTAGCATAGCAGATGATGGATCACCAACCGGATTTTTTCCTGTCTCGAGAGGATTATGCAGTTTTAGATGTGGCGAAGAGACAGCTCACATTTTTTTCATTATAATTTGTTTCTTTTAACGCGCGGAAAAAAGAAATCCAGAAATCGTTTCTAGAAATTAAACGCAAGAGTGAATTATAGTACAATTTATACGATAATTCGGAGGTACAAATTCTCTTCTTGGATGAACGACGACAAGTACCATCGTAGTGACGCCTCTCACGTTCCACTCTAGCCTGAAAATCAGAGTCGTTGATCTTCGCACCGGCTGGATAAATGTACCGGAAAAGCTGGCTTCTGAGCTGTGCCTTCGAGCGGCCGTGGCAATGACGCGAATGATGATCATATGTCAAGATCGCAAAGCCGTTCTTATATCTATCAACTTTCATTGTAGAATTTTTTAAATAATTTTTTTAAATTTGTGACGCAAAGCTCTCTCAATTTTAAAAATATTTTATCCACGCGAGAAACATCAATCTATGTCACCGTACTTGCCTCCTTATTGCATAAAAAAGAATTTGTGGAAAAAAAGAGCTGCCAGTGCGTCGACATGCTGAGAGGATGTCGCCTATCTTCTTATTTTAAAAACGATGGAAAGTGGTGGTCGAGTGCACGCGGCCTTTGAGCAGACCTTGGCAATGGAGTGCGTTCGCCAAGAAGCGCTTTCCGGCATTGTGAACACCGTCGTGCACGTCGAGAAAATACATCGGCCTTGGGAATATCGATGAGCGTAAATTAAGAAAGTTTTCCCCTGAGCACAGTTCAGAATGGCTTCCCGTGTCGGAGATTGTTGCGTTGAAACAATCGTTCACGTATAATCCGTATCGATAAAGTCATAAGGATATATGAGATTCATAATGGAACGCTCAGATTACATAAGTCTATCGGGGGTCGATTAGCTTATCGGGGATTATCCTGCGATATCTTCGTTTATCGAAATCTCACGCAAATAATATTTCAATATCATTATTGGTATTTCTCATAATAATTAATTAACTTAGAGACTGGTTGGAGAGGGAGAGATTAATACATTGGCACGTAGTTATTATACACAAATAATCCAATCGTTGCCGTCTTTTTTATTTATGTAGTTTTATATCGGCAATATGTTACCTACAGCAATAGATTGCAGCATATTTTTATATGGACTGAAAAAATAAAATAACAGAAGACAATAAATGGAAATAAACGTTTCAAGAGTTTACGACGCAGTAACTATAATCCTAAAATCAAACTATGTAATGAATATATACGGAAATAGTATAAAACATTTTATGAAACATATATTCGAAAAATCGTGGATATTCATGGAGATTTTTGGGAATTTTATATTTTAATAAAAACGTGATAAAAGACCACTATTTTTGGAAACATTTTAAAATATTTCGGTAAACTTGAAATGCTTTTTTTCTATTAAAAATATTAATTTGAAATTATCTAAAAATCTCTATGCGTGTTTTTTATATAACTTCTTAATAGCTGAAGATCCTTTAATTTTCATTAAAAATCTCTTCGCAATTAAGAGTCTTTTATTAAATTTTTGATACATTATTGCTTCTTTATTAAGTGTGTCTTAGGAAAATTTAACTATGTAGCCATTGATCTTTCTCTTCTTCTTTCTCTTCTTCAGGAATGAAGTAGCAAACTGGAGTCGGATAATTGCATTCGCGTGCACGCGTTTGAACGTCCTTGGTAATGAAATGCTGGGAAATACTTTTCACGCTATAAACATTACGTATACATCAAAGCGGATAGACTACATCGGCCTTCGGTATATCGATTTGTACACGCAAAAAGAGGAGTTTATTGAAGCTCTGTCCCTCTCTGCGCCATCGCATTGTCGGATCATGTCTACATGACGTCCGGTCGTTGTTCTTTCAACCAACGCTTATTACAATCCGAGATTCTATATAGCTAAATCGTGATAATCCGCTTAGAAATTAATTGGCCAAGCGACTAAGTTTATTCCCGACTAAATTTGGCTACATCCAAATTAGATGTCGCCGATTTATTTATGACATACGCAAACATAGGCATGTTCCTGTTCATGTTTTTATCACCGTGGAACGACGAATATCATACGAGTAACGATGAAACTTTAACGAGATGGTTATGGGCTGTGGGTCTCCCCGACGTACGTCTTGAAATATGAAACGTGCTTTTCGACTTGTCCTTAAATGTCTTTAACAATGACAAACTATTAAATATTTTACGACGTTACATTTTTGTCAATATTAAAGCAATTATTATAAATTATTATATTGAAAACTATCAAAATAGATTTCATTTTGCGATTGTTACATTAATATAATATAATAACTCGTTGAAAGTACATAAAAATTTAGTTGGATACAGGTGTGAACTAAAATAATTATGTACGACGCTCATAAATGGATTACTATAATTATTAATAATTATTATTTTGATGGTCCAACAAAATTATTTTCAGATCTGTATCTACCTAAATTTTCAGATAAACTTTAGCAAATTCTTTTATGTCATAATTCTTATGTCTTTAATATTTATATCTGTTATATATTTAATACTCATCTTCTAAAAAACTTTCATTTTTTGTAATAGTAAATACACGTTAATCTAGTATGAACCGAGAATTCGTATATTATTTTCAGAAGATTTTTGGCGCTGAGATTCTTCCTCAAGATGGCTGGAGCGAACCGAGAGGTTCGGCAAGGTCCTGAAAATTTTGTGCTTGCAAGTCATCGTATTGGGCGAAGCCAGTCTTCGTGCGATTAGGGGCTGTGCCAGGGTAGCACGGGACGGGGGTGGTTCCTTCCATCGCGAGGATCGAGATGAGCGATTTACAGGCCACCCTCGAGTTCTCCCTCGAGCTCTGCAAGTTTTACAATGTCGATCTCTTCCAGCGCGGGTGAGATTATCGCTCCATATCTTTCGATGTATAACGTCGCATCGTATCTTCGTAAAATATTGCGATTGCGATTGGCCGCCAAGACTGGTTTGATCGTCTAACAGGGGAATTCTCTGTACACTTTTTTTTACAGATATTACCAGATCCGAACTGCTCTTAGAGTATCGCCAAAGTTACCAGTCAAAGTGGAAGTCAATCAACCACGAAATCGTAAGCATTTCGATAATCAGAAATCAAAATTATTTCTGTAATACAGATATTTTATTTTGCATGCTATATTAAATTTACATGTACAGTCACTACATTTAGTGTCTTAAAAGATTTTCCCCCTTTCCTCCCTCCCCTCATCAATAGTAATAATTATTTAAAGTATATATAATAGATAGGCATACCTCAATAATATTGTCGAATCATGAAAACCTTCTAGTCATATGTATCTTAAAACATTTCTCTTTATCTTTCTTTCTTTATGTTTCGATATATATCCATTTTTTACGTGCGTCTCGCGATCGTATCTCGGACTATCCGAAGTTCTCAGTTATATCACGCGAATGTACTTGCTGAATCCATTCACCCCAATCGATCGATCTATCCCCGAGGCGAGCGACGTCGAATTCGATGGAGAGGCACGCACCGTTGTGTTGCAGACTCGCTGGAGGCGCCGGGCACGAGTAAGCGCTTTCAGATCCTCTACAGGAACGAGGAGGTGACACTCGGCACTTCTGTACTATTCCGAGCGCATGTGCTCGTGCATAGTCACAAGATTGAGGAGGCCCTGTCGCGCACCCACTTTAATCTAGGCGTCGAGCTATGGTTCAGCGAGCCGACGCAACCGGGCAACATGGCTTGCGTGTCCTCGAGGTAAGCGTCTTGCCATCTAACACGAACGCCGATGTATTCCTTTCCCGCAGTGACAGCAGGGACACGCAAGGGTTGGATTGCGAGCAATCTGAGCAATCAGCCGGCCGCGCAATTCTTATCTCTTGTTTGCGACCTTTCTCGAACGCGGCATAAGAACTTGCAAAAGAATAAATTAATGACAATAAGATGGATAAATTGGAAATTTAAAAAAAAGCAAAATGAGTCAACACAATTAGAACATTTACTTCAGTTATTTTCTAGTATTAATGTTGGGTAATTATCTGATAGCATCAAAAAACACGGAAAGAATTTTTGTAAAATAAAATAAAAAAAGACTCTCACTCATTCATTTTTATGGTACATTATATAATAACATTAATAGCGTTTCTAAGTTTTCTTCGGGAAGATAGATAAAACTGACGCGAACTTAGTAACGATGTTGAAAATTTTCCCGGGCAATTTCTGACACTCATCGTAAAAGACCTCTTAAAGATAACGTAATTTGTCAAACGTGTTTTAGACAGATCTATCAGACATCTGTTGGATATTTGTTCGCAAACTGTTTGGAATTGGGCCGAACTGATCGATGATAGTTTCGACTGAAAGTCGCTATTATAGAGTCGTTCGTGATCGATAGGACGTTCTTTTTCAGGGCGTTGCAGTTGAACTTTACACCCACGAAGGGCCTTCACTATCATCTGCCAGTGCTCTTTGATTACTTTCATCTTGCTGCGGTGTCCATTACGATCCATGCCTGCCTCGTGGCACTTCATCAGCCCTACATCAAGTCAGTATCGCTTACGTTTCGTAATTCTCAAAATACTGCCCGGCATATAATCGACGTTGTCTCTCACGAGAGCCTCTTTTTCTGTTTTATGACCGCGTGTTTTCATCTTCGATGAACGCAGGAAGAGCATACTGCACGTAGTGCAGAGTTGGTGAGTTCTTGACACTTTAGAAAGAAGCTCAGAACTGGCTGAACTTTCCGCGCGAGTATAGCAGCACAATTTATTATTTCTTCCTCGACTTCTGAATTCCTCAACTAACTAACTTTGTCTTGAATTTGAATTTACGAGGCAGTGATTATATTGACTCCCACACAATTTCAAAGGCTTAATATTATTAGGCTAATATTAGAGAACATTGCGATACACATGATCGTAATGTATTTTGTCTGAAAAATAAACAGATAAAATATAGCTTACGCGCGCGGTCTGTTTTTCGCTACTCTGGCGAGTTAAATAAATCTTTAGTAAACGCTGCTAATTACATTCATCATAAAAATTAACAGTCTCTGCCTGAAAAAGCATTGTAATTCTCTAAATTTTTTCGAGTATAATCTCACTCTAAAGAGTAAAAATTAAATTAATCTTGAAAAAGAGATTTCACTCTTCAGAATGACAATTCTAAAAGTTTCAAAGAGTATACTGTAAAAGTTTTAGAAAGAATGTATCGAATTATGATTGCAGTGCGCCACGAAGCGGAAAACCCTGGCTGCAATTTAAGCAATCCGCGACGAACGGCGAGAGTAATGCTACAACCCTCGGAAATATCGTGAGTTTGTTTAAAGCGATTTTATATAACGATGCCGCTAAATAGATATTGAATGAACATTACGCTCATTATCCAATGCATCATTTATAATTCATTTATTATTCAATAAATCTCAATAAAAGTTCTAGTAATAAGTGAATCGTTTCAGGAGACCACTACGAGATGCGTCGGATCAACGACGAGGATACAGCACGCGAGACTGGTCCAACAAGAAGTCACGAGACTGCTCTTAGCCGCGAGGGAATCTTTACTAAACGATTTGTCCGACTTGGCACGGCTTCTACCCTCTTGGCAACAAAGGGCGCTCGAACTCGCACAAAATACGCACAAAGAGATCACGAAGGTTTGCGTTTTTGCATTATGTTGTGCTTTTAATTTTTAACAAATGCTTTTTAAATTCGTTTTTTGCAGTTGATGGACACTGAGGAGGCTGACATAGCCCAACTCTGCGCACAAAATATCGTTCTTTGGCAGCATTTCCTCGAAGCGTTCTCCGGCCGAGAAGCGGTTCATCAGCATTTAGCACGAATTCATCATCAATTAAGAGTAAGCGAAGCTTATAAATTATTCAGATTAAAATTATACAATACTATCAATACTAAATTTTTCAAATATTAATATTAAACTGAATAAATTTGTATCCCATGATGTTTTATTTATTTGCAATTAATTATCAATTTGTAGGTGAAACGATTCGCAGAGGGTTTCTTTGTATTAGAGAACCCGAGAACATCGGCAGCGGGCTGTTACGACGCGAATTATCAGTCTTATCAAGCGGTAAGCGAGGCTGCTCGAAGATCGCGTTATCTCGCATCGTTGCCACCGTTACCTGTCCATTGTCCGGAAGTAGACGGCGATCTTCACTCGTTGCCTTTGATTTTCGAAGATCAGTACGCTGATATGCAGCAGAGACACAGAAACAGCGGTGAGACAATATATATGCGCAATGGTATTTATTAACTTAAAATATGTCTGAATATTTTTATTTATAGCAAGCTATAAATAAAAATAAAAATATAGTGCAATTTTGTTTTTTTTTTAAATTAAATGATATACATATATATATATACAAATAATTTAAATAAGTAATATAAATAATTTTAAATTATAAATAATAATTCTAGAATACTAGTGCATATTTTTTTGGAAGCTTTATACGAAATATTCTTCTTAGTTCCTAGCATGGACGACTGCAGTTGCGGTATAGCTGCAATCCTTGAGTCGCGCTCTATGGGTATCTGGTCGCCCAGGAGCGAAGGCGCAGCTCAAGACATTGGATCGATCCAGGCTCGCCTCATACTGACGCCTTCCACGCTTCCAGCGAGGCACAGCAAGTCACTCGATCAGCTAGGTCCCGAGCTAGCAGCACCTCTGCAGCCTAGAACATCGCCAAAAACTTTGCCCAGATCCGTGTCGACCCAATTGTTCTCGCGGGGGCTGCGTGGCGGCGGTCGAAACGTCACGCCACCCGCGACGGTTCCTTCCAGGGGGAAATCCAGGTCGACAGTGCCGTCCATTAGCACCCTCTTCCCGCCTTCGGGTCAGCAGGCATGTTCCGCGCCGAACCCATCTCTCGGTTCCACGCCAGTGATACCCCTGCCTCGAGCCAAGTCCACGCAAATGCTGGTACCAAATCGACAGCAACAGCAGCAGTCCGATTATCAATCCTCTTCCATTAGCTCACTGCTGGCGGTGATGTTTCCTGAGTTGCCGCCCGGTGGACAACTGCCCGGTTATCGACCTTCATCTAAATCCTGCGATCAGAATCTTGCTGTGCCAACGTACGCGGCCGCCTTGGACCTTAGTCAATTGTCCGATTGTTTGGCGGACAGCAAGCCAGCAAATACGATAGAAGGTACGATAGAATATATATCCAAAGTTTTAAAATAAAATAATATTGATAGAATAATGTCGATAAATTAATATTTAAAAAATTCTGAAAACGAATTGATATGTTTCTTATTTATTTTATATAGATTATCATTCTCTCGATACCAGAAGAATACGGCTGGAGCCACGAAGTCATCGCCTGGGAACTCGCCAAACGCTGCCAACGACCACAAACGACCAAAGTAGCTTTCTATCCACCAAGGCAAGCTTAAACGGTGACTTTCTACAGGATCCACAGCCTCTGCATACAGCGACATTGGATAGAGTTACTTATCGAGGAAACTCCAGAAAGTCTGGACATCAGACAGGCAAGTACAGTCAATCGAATGGCGTTGAAAGTCGCAGATATCATACACTCGGCAAGACATCGATGACGCAAAGAAGCCGCCCAGAGATACCAGAGTGCATGAATGGCAGCGCGGTGACCGGTAGCCACTTGCATCTGGCGGATTCTGCGAGCAAGAAATCCAATTATTACGCTACTACAGATTCATTTTTCTATCGCACAAATGGCAACACTAGCGGAAGAAATCGCAACGAGGACAAGCCGAAGAGGCCGAAAAGTACGGAACGATTGCTCGACGACGTGGAGCGCAGTGAGTGCTGTGACTTCCGGCGAGATCGACCGACTCGAAGAAGAGCAGAACGATCGGTCAAGTCGCCTCGCAATGGCGTAGCCCAGAATTACAACGAGGAGAAACAACGACGCGGTCAGACCGAGAAGAAGAACACGGAGGTTCAAGAACCAATTTACGAAGTAATAGCCCTGAAACCGGAATCAAAGAAAGAGTCTCGCGAGAGAAGGAAAGACAAGCACAATAGAAGACCGCACTCAGCGCCCGTCCTTGATACGGATCATCCGGTAGAAGAGAGCAATCATAAAAGTGAGAGAAAGTGCAATCACAAAAACAGAAAACCTGCACCGCCACCTCCGGCATATCAAGATCCTGCTGTCGCCCCTTTACCTAAATACCGTCATTCTTCTTCAACGACTGCGAGCGTTCTCGAAGTGGAGAACAACAATAAAATTATCCTGAAGGTAACATGACAATTTAACATTAAAAGATAATACAAAAATGTGTATTAAATTTTATTTACTCGTTTAATTTAATTTATATTTTAATTTTCTCTGTATCCTTGCTATTTAGATGGAACCCATAAAATCGCCCATGGAGGTACCAACGATCAATGGCACGACGCCATCGGACACGTCAAGCTTCGGGATACCTCCGCCGAACGTTAAAAGATTGCGATGCGCCAGCGTACCAGTAGCTCAGAACAAAGTAGTCGTGCCACGCAGCGCAGTCTCTTTGCCCTGCATGCCGATACGCGATAGCAAGGACAACCTAAGCAACAACTTGCCGATCATACCACATCTTCTCAGTCCGCCGTCCACCAGACCTAGCAGCCCTACGCCGAGCTCAAGCTCGAGCAACCTAACGTCCGAATGTTCCGGTTGGGTCAGTAGCGGCGACACCTCCAGCTCGGAGCAGCGTCGCAATCAAGCCAAGCTCTCGAGCGAGCAGCTGCGGCAGAAACTATCGAAGATCGTGCCACGCAAGGATCGTCCTCTCGTCACGAAGGAGAGCGTGGAGGAGCACTCGTACGAAGAGGTGCGACTACCGCCACCAAAGATGTTCCAGGACGAGCCGCCGCCTCCTGAAGAGTTTCGTGATCCGCCGGCACCGATCGATAATCCACTCTACCACGTGTATGAAACGGTAAAGCAGACCAGGAGCCCGAAACAGAACAAAACAGCACCCTGCAGTCCGCAACGAAACCGGGATCGAGACAGGGAGGGTGTCTATGGCGCCAGGGACATTTGTTTGGACTGTTATCAGGAGGGCAAGGAGTTGTTGCAGTCTACGCAGGATGATTTCATCAACTTCAAGAAATGCAAAGAGGAGTTTAAAAGGCAGATGAGCTTCTCGGGCAAGATCTACAGGTGTGTCAAATTTTCATGTATAATAACGCGAACAGCCCACCCAATCAGAACTGCTTCCTTAAGCTCAATATTCATGGAGCAAGATTTGAAGTTGTGAATCAAATAATGTGTGAAGCTTAAATCGTTTAGCTCAATTGTTGTTTTTTATTAATCAAACTAGAGAATCTGAACAATGTACTTAAAAATAGAATATACAGCATTCTAAAAATTTGGCAACTAATCAATCAGCAACTTTGAATTACGCTGTGTGAATATTGGCTTTCACTCTGTTTTTTCTTTCTTTTCTTGTTGCGTTATTTCTCGACTACAAATGCGACGATGCTTCTTGAGATTTCGCTTCTGCTTTCTTAAAAGTGCTAAATGCCGTTTGCATTTCGCTTTTGCGTTGTTCCGTCTGTCTTTCATAGTTAAGTTCTCTTCTCTGTCTACCTTATCCTCCTCTAGAGAACACGAGGAAGCACAGTTGCATTTACATAAACGTGCCTATTCCCTCGGATACGGTGACCTTCTGAATTCCTCGCCGTCGGTTCAACCATTAAGATCCAATGTGCCTCTTAGTGATTATCCAACCCTGGCCTCGACCCTGCCGTACTTCCACATCAGCGATGAATATCGGCTCTTCTCGCCGGAAGGAGTGCACCTTATCATATGCGTCCACGGTCTTGACGGTAATGCCGCCGATCTCCGTCTCGTCAAGACGTACTTGGAACTGGGTCTGCCTGGGGCGCACTTGGATTTCCTGATGTCTGAAAGAAATCAGGTAAATTACATCTGGATAATAGTCTCGGAAAATTGAAACGTTGGTTGTGTTCAGCAGACCCAGTTGAGTGGATGCTCGCTGTTATTGATGTATTCTTTTAGATCATTCAATTAAATCTAGTAGAATCAATAGCAGCGAGCACTTACTCAACTGTTAAATCTGCTGAACGCAGCCAATAATTCTCAGTAAAAAAAAATTAAAATAGTTTTATAGTTTCAAGAATATAAAATTAAATATAAGTAAAATGTCTATATCAGCTTCTTCGATTGTGAGTGCGTAAATTATATGTATTAGGTGTTAAACTTAATTTCTGCCGTTTTTTGTCTCCAAAATTGATTTGTTTCGAAGGAAAATACCTTAATCAAAGTATTATTAATAAAGTATTATTAATTAGTAATAAAGTAGAAAATGGAGGAAATTACTTTGATTAAGGTATTCATTCATCTTCTCTTCGAAACAAATCAATTTTGGAGACAAAAAACGGCAGGAATTAAGTTTAACATCTAATATATTTATAAGGCGATAAAATATAATTTACAAATAATTGAAATGTACTTATCAACGAAGTTAACTACAAACGTTTCGATTTTCTGAATTTGAGTCTTTCTCACTGCGGAATTAAATTAAGAACTACTAATGACTGTAGTTTGTACTTGACTTTCGCACTATGGTGGATTTAAATCTAGAGTTGAAACGTTTGCAATTAATTTATTAATTAGCATTCAGAGTACTGATTCCAGTAAGATTAATTAATTGCGCCAATTTTTTCTATGTTACAAACGTATTTTAATTTCAACTCAACGATGCCTAAATTTTTAATGAATAAGTAAATAACTATTATTTACAAATTCTAAAACCTTCTAAGAGTGCAGAATTATCTAATGAATTGTTATGTGTTGCTTGTATTGTACGAAAGGGAGACACCTTTTCCGACTTCGAAACGATGACTGACCGATTAGTGTCCGAAATTCTCTATCATATTGAATCGTCGGGCTTGAATCCGAGAAAGGTGAGTTTTATCGGGCATTCTCTTGGGACCATAATTATCCGGAGTGCCCTGACGAGACCGCAGCTGCGTCCACTACTTCCTCGTCTACACACCTTCCTCAGCTTAAGCGGACCACACTTGGGTACTCTTTACAACACAAGCGGTTTGGTGAACGCAGGTAAGCCTAATACCTACGATGCGCCGTTTGATGTTGGAAGAGCCTCGGTCTCGAGTGTAATTTTCGTTTTGTCATCAATTTGCGTAGGTATGTGGTTCATGCAGAAGTGGAAGAAGTCCGGATCTTTGCTACAACTGGCCATGAAAGACTCACCGGACGTGAGACGCTCCTTCATGTTCCGTTTGAGCCAGAAGAGCAATCTGCAGAAGTTCAAACACGTCTTGCTGTGCGGCAGCGCCCAGGATCGATATGTACCCTTGCACTCTGCCCGAATCGAGCTCTGCAAGGCTGCCGTACGAGATCCGACGGATCAAGGTATCAAATTTAAGCGCGGATTATTTTATTTGCATGATTTGTTTTTTATTAAGATGACAAATTAATTGAATGAAATCGTTCAATCAATCAATGATTGAGCTACATTAATTCGAACTTCGGCTTGATTCTTCCAGGTGCCGCATATCGTGAGATGGTGCACAACATTCTGTATCCTGTGATGTCGGCGCCCGGCGTCAGTCTCGTCAGATACGACGTGCATCACGCTCTACCGCCGACGGCGAACGCCCTGATAGGCCGAGCCGCGCATATCGCCGTCCTCGATTCCGAGCTTTTCATCGAGAAATTCCTGCTGGTCGCGGGACTGAAATATTTCAGATAAGGAAAGAACAGTCTAGCGCACACGAAGAAATAAATTAACTGTAGCTTAATAAAAAAAAAAAAAAAGAAACAGGAACTCGAACGCGGACTCGGAAAGCGTCGCATTCTCCGCGACATCTTCGACCATTCCGTGATTAAAGTATATTATAGACGTCCTGTCCAGCGTTGCCTCGCTTTTTCTCTTCGCTTAGCAGTCTTTTTCCAAAGAAACGAACGGGATTTCGAAGCGAGGCAATCCAATCTTTTTTACACGAAAACACGGTGCACGCCGTCGTCGATTTTAGTATTGAAACATTCGTTAGGTTCTCGTGTCACTTGATACCGATCATATATCACGGATGCGAAAAAGTCGCGCGTATTTATAATTGACGGTCGAATATTTCGGTTTCATTCCCGCAACGCTTCATCGAAAATTCGCCCTGTGGGCATTCGAATTGAATGGACCTGTAGTTTGCCGTGAAACGGACCTATTCTAGTGATGGTGGTGATGACGGTGGTGGTAATAGTAGTAGTAGTAGTGATGTTGACCAAAAAGCTGGAGGAAGATAAGAAAACACAGAAAAGATGCAAAATAGTGCGAAAAGTTAAGTATATATGCTTGGAAGATTCCTGCATGTCATGCACACCACTGCTGTAAGTAATGCGATGTGCATGAATGATCGAACGTACTTCAAAGTTTTACATATTCGAAAAAGGAAAAATTCAAACGAAACCTGATCAGCGCGTTAGGCCTAGCGTAAATGAAGCAATTATGAAGGGATACGACACAGTCGCCGGATACATTCAGCTTCATCAACATCGTCGCGAAAAAACGGATCGCGATCGTAGAAGAAAAGGGGACGAAAATTATTCATCGACGTAACCATACCAGCAATTAAATTCGAGAATGTACTTTTTTTAAAAAGAAATGAAACGAGACTTCAACGAGCAAAGGCTCTGATGTCGCCGGATCAATTCTATAATGTACAGCCACGCATTAAGGAGAACAAAAATAATAATATTAATAGATAATACAAATAAAATAATAAAAGTATAAGACAATGCAACGACACATTGTCTAGTCGTATAGGAAAGTTACGAAACGTATGTCAATTGTTATCCTCAGATAAGTGTGAATGCTGAATGCGATGAGTGCGAAGAGCGGATGGATGAGAGCCGAGTACGATGCTGAGAGAAAAAAGGGAGCTATAGAGCGAGAAAGAGAGAAAAGTATCTAAAAGAGAAAATGATTAGGCAAAAAAAAAGAGTAGAGTAAAAAGATTGAGAATGATGGAACGTCGATAGGACGTTAATCAGCGTTATCAAAGTCAACGAGAGGATTCGAGAGAGATGCGGTAACGGATTTCATCAACGTCTCGTACGAACGGGTCCCCCAGTGTGATTTCAGTGCAGTGAAATGAGGACTCGCGCCCTGAAACGCGGCAGAGGAGAGCATCCAGGGTGCGAAACGGACGCGGTGACACGACAAGAGTGACTAACGTTTCAGGTATATGAAATCCCTCCAATGCTAGATCTCAATTGCTCAGAACAATCTATCAATGAAAAGCAAAAAAAAAAGATTAAAAGAAAATTATATTAATCGTAATCGAAGGGTAACAAACGCGAAACGTCCGCGAATGTTATCACAAGATCGAGTCATGGTATAAATGCGGGTTCGACTTTTGTCACCTTAAAATCTACAGGGCGTTCCGGAACAGTTGACCTTAATTTTAATAATAAATTCATTCGAAATAAATACTTTTGGTAATGTGTGTGTAGAGTAATCAAGTATTTTGTTAACGATAATTACAAAAGAATTGTTTTTAGATCTTAAATCTGTCACGTAATAATACAGAGAAGATAAACAGATTTTATCCATTTATTATATCAAAATTTTAATTTATCTAATTATATCCAGATGTTTAATATTAAATATTCAAATGTAACAAATGATGCTATCCTTGAGAAATAGAATTTAAATTTTATCAAAGATTTTATCATTAAAATTCAAGGATAAGTTTCTGATGCTCTGTGTATCAAACTGCGACGTATGATCATATAGCACTTTAGCGCGAAAATGGCGTCTCGTATTTCAGCAGTCATGGAAACATTTTTTGTGGAAGAATAGGAATTTTGAGAAATCAAATAAATATATGTTAGATGTTTATATTGTGCATTATACAAATGTGCATTTAACATTTTTAACGAACACGATATGTCCATTATATGTCCCTATTTGTGAAGCGATGTATAAAATAATATTAATAAGCCGATATTCTGTAAACGATATTCGCGAATGTATATATAAACTATATGTATCCATAACACATTGCAGTCGTTATAAATTGAAAACTGAAATACGAGGCACCCATTTTATCGCGCATTAACAATTATGGAGTGGAAAGTCATAAAAGTTATTATATTCCAAAAACAATTATTTTTAAAAGTAAGAGATTAGAGACTTACCGCGAGCTTTCGATCAACATTATCGCATATTTCATTCTAGCTATTTCGTTTACGGTTGTAAATGAGTGTGTTTTGCGTTTTTATTTTACAGTACACGTGCAAATAAATGCATGTATGTGACGGATAGCCCTTTATAATTTTCCACTCCACAATTTTCTCGCGTTACAAATCTCTGAGCACACAAATAACAAACTGTCCCAAGTGCAGACACGCGCATAGTAGAAAATAATAATTTTTACAACAATTCTATCGTAACATATGTGTTAAAAACAAATCATATGGATCATACATCGGCTCTCAATATGCGAGTAATATCGTATCGCATGTAAATCCGTATCACTCGTATCATCCAGTGTAAGCCATTTACATACGTAAGAAACGTATGTATCTATGTTTACGTGTATTGTCATGAAACGATTACCGTTAACATGTATACTACAATCGTATATGTTGTTGCAATCGTTCTAATCTGGTAATCGTAAGATGGTGAAAAGTTATACGAACAAGTGCAACTTTGCATCAGACTAAAAGAAAGTTTATGACATATGTGCAAAAATCGCATGTCACATCCAATTCTCTCTGTTTAATATAAAAACTAAATAAATTATTTTCCTGAACGTTCAATAATCTTATCCTTTTAATATCGAGACAGAAAATTTTGACAGATTTTGACAGATATTGACTTTTTCCACAGATTTTGAAAATTATATCTATTTTCTTTTTATTTCCGTAAAAATATTTTAAGTCACAGATTAAAATGTGATAGTAATTTATAAAATCATAGTTTATATAAATATAATTGATTATTTTCTGTATTATTTTTCTTACAAGTGCAGGATAACTTTTTATATTAGGAAAAAGGTTTTTGAAACTCTATAATATTAGTACTTCAATATACCTTGATAACAATTCCATTTTAGTGTGATGTAAAATTATACTTGCTGATGCATGCAAATTTCTTTATGATATGTCGTAATTGGTATATTATTTTATCAAGTCCATCATTAATAACAATTTATCTTCTGAATTTCGATTATTTATTCTGAGTATCTAGAATATGATAATTTTCAGAATCCTCCAAATATTGTCTTCGACAGATATTTCTGAGAAATCGGTCTCAAAGCACTTTATACGTGTATCAAAATGTTTCCTTATAATTTATCACATAAAATTCATTTGACATAGGAAATCTCAAATTGACGTTAAATAACCGTGCAATATTAATCACAATTTAGAATTGAGAGTTATGTTTGTCTACATTTGACGATCTCAATTAAAGATTTATGACGTTCGTGTGCCATCAATGAACGTGACGAATGTGCATATGAGTAAAGAATTCATGTTGTGACTGTCTCTTTAATCAAATTTTTACTCCGCAGCGACACGTTTATCAGGTAAATCGCCGTATATATGTTGTTCCCTCAACTACGAATAAATCTCACCAATGACGTTTACGTGCGTCATGTATCGATTGCGAGAAAGACAGGTCATCTCCTCTCTTTGTCTGTTATCAATAACGCGTTACAAATCGTGCGCGAAAAGGAGATTACGAACTACGGAAAATGGGGAAACGGAGCTTCGGAGATCCTGAAAAGCTTTTCGATTTGCTCTATCACGAGGAACGTAGATCAAAAAGAATTTTCATTGTTATTCTATTATTTGCTCAGTTATATCGTCGTTTTACATTGTAACCGATTCAGCACGCTCTAACCGCGATAATTACAATTTTGTACTCTCGTTAATGTAAACTTAAGTTTTTATCTTACTACCTAAGGCAACAATTTTCTAGAGATTTATCGGGGAACGATGGGAACATAATCGGATCAATGATGATCGGGATCGCGATCGATCATACAATTTCCGCGTTCCATCTCTCGATATATTTTAGAAAGATTTTCTCCAGACTCTAACTAAAACTATTTCAAGAACATAAAATCGTTGTTGCGTTTTTGGTGGGTATGTCTTTGCGTAATTTACGATTCGTATATTTCGTGTCATTCCTTTCCTTCACCCTATGGCGCCATCCTAGCTGGACGGCTTGAGTGCGTAGCGAGATTTCTTTAATAAATTATAACGGCCTCTGGAGACAATGAATAAACAATTCAGAATGAAATCTTAAATATTGAGCAATTTCTGCTCTTATCGAACTAGCCAAGTACTCTTCGGAGGTGACGAGAAATTAAAATTTAGATACAAAGAAATATTAAAGATAAATTGATAGAGAAATGTAAATTAATACAAAGTAGATAAGACATTTATAAATTTTTTTAACATTATTATACGATATCTAATTTCATTAATTATGCATATAAAATTTACATTTTGAACTTCATTTTTATATGAAAACGAATTATATAAATTGCATAATTTAAATATTTATATTTTTTTGGCAATTAAAAAGTTAAATATATTTCTCAATTTCTATATTCTCATATTTATCTTCTTCTCTAATAAAATAAAAGAAATGAAAGAAATCGAAGAACTATAAATTAAAAAATATCGAATTTCAAAGAGATTTTTAAAAGTTAAGTGCCAAGGTAGAGAGTGCCAAAAGCAGAAATTGCCAGTCGGACAACGATTCTCTTTGAAGCGTGCATCGAAGCGTTCATCGATACTTAAAAAAGAAAACTCGCTACATTGCCTGGTCGTGTCACGATTATTAGGCATGTCGTACAGCTGGGTTTGAAAACAAGCGTCACCATGTAATCCTCAATCGAATCACTTGCGAGAAAGAAAAAGTGTAAGAGGGAAAGAGAGAAAGAGAGAATGAGAGAGAGAGAGAGAGAGCGAAAGAAAAAAGGAGAATAAGAAAGCGTCAACAGGAAGACACATAATTGTCTTTAAAAGAGAAACACCAATGAAGAAGTAACAATGTATACACTATACATAACACATGAGTATACAAAAAATGAATAAATCTACGTATATATAAAATGAGAGATAGATTAATAAAAAATCTCAAACCATACATTACATATTATTATTATTCATTAACGAATGTGTATTTACCTTACCCGATAAGAGTAATCAATATCCTCAATTGAGTGTAACTTAATTCACAGGATATTCCGCCAAGATATTCAATTAGGAATATCTAATATATGCAAAATGTGCGATTACGAAATCAACGAAATACAATAAAGGAACATTATTTCACTTAAAGAGATCGATTTAATTCACTTAAAATAACAGATACATACGAATCTCGAACAAAAATTGCGACATTAAGATATAATGCGAATAAAGACGTATTCATAAAAAATAACAACATTGCTCCGCGAGTAGTGAAATATCACGCTCTGTGGCATTTCTCGCAGTCCGAGAGAGTGTAAATACTCGTTCGCAGAGGACATCGCATCAAATAAAATTCCACCAATTTACAAAGACCGAAAGTGTCTCTCTGTGTGGATATATCGCGTTGCGTTTGATCAAGCGTATAACTCTCGTTGTTACGCGTACCTATGAATCGAAAGTAGATTTATAAAAAAAAAACAACGTGAAAAAAAATATCATTTACAAAATAATGATTAAAATTCGGAGACGCGCGAAATCGTCGTTTCCCACGTGAAGTCATATGTTAATTTGCGTCGATTAAAGTGTCCGTGTTACGGCTAATTTCCTAGAAACGCGAAAACGACTTACAAAAACTTGCTAAATGCTTAACGCTATTCAACTTCAAACCCCTCATTTTTTCGTCCCCCCCCCCTCCCCTTTTGCTAACTCAGTTTACTTGTCTTTTCCTCGGCGAATTGAATTTCATTGTACAATTTAAGAAGCTCATTTAGACTAATTCTCAAACGATGTAACATTGAAACCCACCTTTTTTCGCGAATAAGAATTCGTTTCTTCCTAGAATATATTTTCTTTCTATATACGTTTCCTTTTTACTTTTTTTGTGCAATTTTGAACAATTGAAGTGTCAGTTGGCACATAGCCTAGATCTTTTTAAAAATTGTAAATTGTAAATTTATTAAAATATAATATTCTGCCTTTTTGTCGAGTAAACAATTTTTAGTAATCAACAATAATTGAAAACATGGATACAATTTCGTGTATCTTTTTAAAAATATCTCGTTTCACATGTTACTATTTATTTGAATAATAACAGCGATCAATTTGTTACAAATCTTGTATCGTTAGTCAGGAAAGATATCTACTCGATCAAATGTGTGCGCGCTGTACAGAATATTATTTTTAACGACATTCATAAACTTGTATTGTCATAGTATGACGACAGCATCGTGCCAACTGACGCTTCAATTTTTAACGACGTTTAGTCGAGCTCGTTTACAACGTACAACAGCTCGCTCTGCATCTCCTTCTCATCGTTGCCGTTTTCCTCTTCGTAGAAATTTCCGATACCGTCGGCCATACCGTCGATAGGACCAACAACGTGCATCGACTCGCTTACATCCGTCTGCTCATCGTCCTGTGCTGAGATTATGACATTAGAACTAATCCCGGCGGAACCTTCGCCAGGTTGATCGGACTTTTCCTGATTCTTCGATGTCGCCTGGCCTGAAAAAGTCGGTACATCGGTATATTTAATCGAGATTCTTGTTGCGATTAAAAAAAGTGAAATGTTCGCGGTAAACATGCCTTCGACAAGCAAATTTCGGAATAAATGATTCTCCGCATATTCCGCATACTCCCGAAGATTATTACAGCGAGTGAATTTGATTCACAGATCTGTTTCAACGCGCGTAGAATACTTTTGGTAATTCACGATGAATTCGAGCGCTGGCTCTTCGCCAATAACGCTTTTACTGTAATTGTGTGAATTTTACGGATAGCTGTAATGTTTCTTACAACCAGAATGCAGAGAATTTCGTGATGGGAGGATCGATTATGAGATGCGAGCCTACCGTGCACACACACGTTTATTTACGCGTATCGTAAATATGCATGGAGGCGTAAAGCACATAGTTGAAGGTTTAATCATCTCTTTTGAGGGTTTGCGACAAAGGCAGCTGAGTCGGATATTACACTGACCTTGGCCGAGATCTCGTGCTTTGCCCAGATAGGAGTATTCTCGCGCGTTCGCTAAACCCGCTATCACACAGGCACTGAGTGCACTGCGACTAAGATTCATAGGGGATGCATCGTACCATTCATTGTAATCCGCATCGTAGCACTCGACGTGCGCGATTGTACTGGATCCTATTACGATAATGTCGTTCCTTTATAACCATAAGCCGCTTATATTTTATAAGAAAGTGAAAATCGCTCTTTATAGCAACATGTAATTATTGGCTCTTACAATATTATATTTTACCGAGGGGATAACCACTAGCTGAAACAGTATCCTATAGATTACATAATTTCATTTGATTTCGTACGATTTCATCTGATGCCAAATAATTTTCTTCACTATATATGAAGTCATTTGGTAAAATAAACGATTTCATCTAATATTACACAATTATTTCTCGTATTACATATGCAATTATCGAATTGTACATCGGAATTTTATGATTTCGGAGACTTTGTCCCACGATACATTAAATTACCCCCTCGTATTTTACACGTTGTCATTGTATACACACACATATTCTAAATAGATAATATTTATAAATAGATTATAAATAAATATTCTAAACATTTCTAAATAGATAAACAAAGATACCAGAAGGTTTGCGGATTATCACTGGGTCCTTATTCATTGCTAATGCCAACATTTCGTAAATCTTGATTGAGTATCAGTGCGCTCTTTGCCCTGATGAAGTGAACAGCAAGTCACGAAACGTTGGTATTAGCAATGAACACGACAATAACCCGCAATCTTCTGGTATCTTTGAAGAAAATACTCGTAAAAGCCTCAAAAGTAGATAAATTAACGTTCTCATTTTTGCCAGACTATCTTCTATTACGGCGAAAAAAACATTACAAGAAGATACGTACATTTCTCTTTCGAAATTATGTGTCTGAGAATATAATAAATCAAGAGAGTAAAGAACTAAAATAGTTTCTTTTAGGAGATACCATTGTAACCGCCGATGACGAAAATCATATCGTCGAGAATCACCGTGGCGAAATTGCTGCGTGGGCTAAACATCTCCGAGATTTCGTGCCATTGATCTGAGTGATTTGGAGTGTAACGTTCCCCTGAAAAATAAATGTTTTTTTCCGAATGATGCCACTCTTCACGTCTAACCTGTCATGTCGAACGTTTGTATAGAAAATATTTAACACGTATAGTTATACATTCACAGATATTACCAGAGACTACGTCATGTACGGGCGTGCAATTCGAGATGATATCACGCAACTGACATTGTTATAACTGAACGAGATCGCCATTGTCTGCGCGAACATTTCGGTATCAAACTAAATCCGACAAATGTACAGAACATCTGTGAAACTTTCCTTAACTAATTAATTATTATTATACGTATATAACATTACACGTGTATATATTGTCCTTACGTATAGAACAATAATTAGAAGTTTTCCATTTAGAATTTATTTATACAAAGATATTAAAATTTGATTGTTTTATTTTAATGGATTCCTCTCTTTAATAATATTTTAAAATGTTGAAGCCTTTTTCAAATCGCGGTTTGATTGTTTTCTTGAATAAAATATTTTTTTCTTTAATCATATCTTAAAATAATGGAAGTACTTTTTGATCGCGATTTGAATTGTTGAATAAATAGTAATAGCAAGAGTTAACTGGAATCTAGATAGCAAATTTGATCAGATTTCCTATACTATCTGTAATAATCTGTGTTCATATTAAGCTCAGGCTTTGTCAACAGTCCGCTGATGTGTCAACAGATTAGTGGCAGACACTGAGTGAGATTTGATCGTGTGGACAATCTGATGGCAGGCTGGTAGCAGAATCAGAGCAGGAACTGTAAATTCTGCTTGGTTTCTGTCACCAATTTGCTGACAAAGCATGTTCTGGCGGCAGTTTGCCGACATTGTCAGATATTAAAGCCTCTGTGTAAAATTTATTGCTTTTCTGCCATCGAAAATTGATAGCATACTCTGTTTAAAATTTGTCTCTGCAGGCTAATCCCAGAAATTGTTAGTGTGTTAACTCTACGCTTAAATATTTTTTTTAATTTTAATACGCGAGACCATAACTTTGCAAAGGCTATCAGAATGCATTGCGTCGAGATTGTATAATAATCAAAACTAACCGGAATTTAGCCTCGCAACGCCGCTGAATCCACCAAGGGCATAAAGACTATCGCGGAAAGCGACTAAGGAGACGCCGGATCGTGGGCTGATCATCGAATCAATATTGGTCCACTGACTAGTCTCTACATCGAAGACCTCCGCCGAGTCGAGAACTTCCTGGCCGTTGAAGCCGCCAACAATATAGATCTTATCATGCAGGGCAGCCGCGCTCGCGTCCGATCGTTGCCGATGCATGGATGGTATCATCTCCCATTGATTCCTCTGTGGATCGTACCGTTCGCCAGAACTCATTCTTGTGCGACCATTGTATCCGCCGAGAGCATAAATCTTGCCACCTTAAGCGATATCAGAACAATGCGGAATAAGTAGACAATGGAAATAATATAAAGGAGAGGTGAGACAAATGGTCTTTGAACGAAAAATAGAAGGATTCGTTTTAACATTAATAATGGTGTGAAAGGAAAGAACGTTTTACTTTTTGTATGCATTTATGCATATTATTATCTTATTTATTTATTTGAACAATGCTTCACACTATTTCAAAGGAAACCTATCATTGTTCCGGCGACAGCAAAATATAATATAATTATACTTTAATTTTTTTAACATTACGAAACAGTGGTGATAGTGAAGATTGGTGAGCTTCGAATTTTATTTATCTAACGTCAAGATGCTATTTGATATTAATAAGAGATAAGAATCGGAGAATTATATTTGGAAAAATTTTCCTTCTTCTTACAATTAAATTCTTATCCTGTAAAAAACCTACCGTGTGTGCAAACGCTGACGTAACACCTAGCATGATACATGCAAGCTCGTTCCCGCCACGTTTTTGTTGTTGGATCGAAACATCGTACCGTGTTAAAGTGCTCGTTACCATCAAATCCGCCAATCATGTAGATAAGATTGTTCAAGACACATAGTCCGTGATAAGCCCTTGGCGTTACATCCGTGTTCACTGATAGAAACCATCTGTCAGCTCTAAAGGACGTATTAAGGTAAGTTACAAGACTCTCAAGGCGTATCTACTTAGCATATACGATATTCTAAAGTGATGCTTGTGCGAAGGTTAATATTCCTTCTGTGTTGTTAAAATTGCGTTAGTACGTGTTATCTTTTTTATGGTTTTATATATTGTCCCAACATAACTAATCTTCTTTTTAACTATTTATTTTTACTAATTTATAAAATATCAAAATGTATGAAAATGTTTAACATAGACTAAAAATAAATAGTACTAATTTATTAATTTATTTATTTGTAAATTTTTTTTATTACTTTATAAAATATCCAAATGTATCAAAATGTTTAGTATAGACTATAAATAAATAGTACAGAAATTAAGCAACTATATTGATGTCAGAACAATTTAAAATATTTAAAAAGTAAGACAAATATTTTTTTGTATGAAAAACCGACTTCAAATAAATTAGAAAATACATTCTTTAAAGAAAATGTTTATTTATTTTTATTTGAAGCCTAAATTGAAATCCAGTATACAGTGTTGTTATTTTTTGAACCTCACAAATTTCGATTTCTATGGAAATTTCGTTTATGCGATATTACTTTGTAAGAGCTTGGCGCACCTTGTGTCGTAAGTTTCTACAAAGCTGGTGGGAGAACCAGCACTCCATCCGCCGATCGCAAAGAGAATTTCGTACGGAACACGAGGTCTCGCAATAGGATTTTTTAAATCAATTTCTCCATTTTGTTTCAATTCTTGTTCAGTTAGATATGCGTTTACAGGAAATAGTATTTGTTGGCACGCCTTAGAAAGTTTAAGTAGATTTAACGTGATTAAAATGTATCATACACAAAAATGAAAACTAAGAGGGAAATGTGATAAAAATTAAAAAATATAATAAAAATTATTGTTTATATAATTAAAATATATATTTTATTAAATATATTAACAGATATTATTTTTATAAAAATATATATTATGTATAAGAATTTATGATGTGTATATTTTAATACTCCAATATTCCCTTTTCGAGTAAAATAGAAGTACCTGTTACATATAGAATGTGAATAATGAATTAATTTATTTTATATATAGTGCTATATCTTGTGAGAAAGTAATTACGAAGGAACTATATATTTGCACTACGCCTAGCTCTATTATATTTGATTCAAAATGAAGCAAAACAAGGCACGAGGGGAGAGAGAGAGAGAGAGAGAGAGCAGCTGTGATGAAGGTATGAACTTACTTCATCCTTCTCAACGAGCTTCCAGTTGATGATGTTATTAATGAAATACTTATGACTCATGAGACCATAACGTATACATTCCAGCAACCTCGGTAAATAAACCCGTCTCTCCTCGACTCTGGTTTCGACCCACGTCTTGACGGCATCAAACACGATTTCTTCGTTTTTAACATTAAGCTCGTCATCGCGCAATATTGCTTCCAGCTCGTCGCAAAGAAGATCCTTGAACTCCGCGCTCTCCTGCAATATTCGCTTGAAGTGGTGACGTATGTACTTTCGTCCCTGTTTCTCAAGATCGTGGCAGAAGTAGTGTCGTGCAAATTTGAAAATACCTGTAACAATAGTCAAAGTTGTTTCTAACATAAATGTCACGAATTGTTCGTGTGGAAAATCGAAAATCAACATCAAAGTTCGATACGAATGAGTAATTTAACTTTCAAACTGTTATCTTTCGCTAACTGAAGTCAAACTAAAATTATGCTATACTGTTGTTTCGTGGTTATTTTTTCAATTGTCCTTGTATTGTTAATTGTTCTTGTATTATTACATTTTATATACATTCTTGTTTTACCTAAACAATTTTCTGGTCGTAGCTCCTGCAACAAAAACTGACAACAGAGTTGGATGATTCCGAGCACCTCAAACTGATCGGCTAGCGGCAATAATTGTTCAACATTATCGGCGTTTACGTTGCAGGTGCCCGTGTAAGCGTAGTCAAGAATCAGGCCGAAGATTTCACCGGGGACGGAAATAACAAGTTCCGTGGTCTCGGTTTTGCCGCCTTTCAGGCTGTTGGTGAAAAGGGCCTTGAAATAGGGGCTCACCGCAGATAATATAGCGCGATGGACTGGGAAGACTTGATCCTCCAGACATCTTATGACGCCGTCACACAGCTGCTGGTTAGCCCTGAAGCCGATAGACTCGTCACAATTCTGAGAACGTTGCACGTATTTTATAATTAACCATTTATTATTATACACAATTTTGAACGTGCGAGTGAATGAACGCAATAGATACAGAAATTACAGTACTCGATTGAATTGAAGTTATGTAGTATATTATTGTGGATAAATTAATTGACAAATTATAGATTTGTAGTACATTAAAAGCTAATTTCAGCCTAATGTTCTTATGTCATAAGAAATTAAAATAACATGTAGCTAATTTATAAAACAAGATTATTAAATTTAATTCTTAAATATATTTTGGCGAGAGAATACAGCAAAAATACTCTAAAATTGTTTCTCATTTAGGACAATCGTGTACCAATTGCGAAAATTGGTTAATTTCCTAAAAGCTAGTAAACACCGCTTAAATTTGCGCTTTTATCTGAAAAGCACGCATTATCCCGAGAGAGAAAGTTAATAATCCGCACCGCGGTTGGAGAAAGGAATGCCTTAATTACGATGGCGCCTGATTACTGACCTGAGCTCGGACCAGACCACGGGGAACTCCACGAGAGCGTAATTGGACGGTAGACACATGCATTTCCTGATTCTCGCCGACTGCTTTCGCCTGGACTGCTTGAGGAGCTTGCTAATGCCGGCAGTGATGGCATAGTCCACGTGCGCCCAATGTCGTGAGTAGGTCAATGCGCGCGGCCCCGAGCTTCCTATTGCTTCTTCCGCTTCACCGCTTCCGCTGAGCTGCCAGCAGTTCTCGTATTCGTTCTCTTCGCAGACGCGAGTCCCGATAGCGCCGAGACGCGCGGCCATGACAGACGAAGGCCAAAAATTGGCCAACTTCGATCCGATCTATTTGTACGTGTCCCTTTCCCTCTCTCTATCTCTCGATCTCTCGAGAAAATTGCATTGAATTGATATTCGTTGCATTTATCATTAGCGAATAATCAAATTATCTTTAATATAATTACATTACATAGTATAGTCATGTCTTCTCGAGAGTGAGAGAATATGTAAAATGATAAACGATCGTACGTTGTAAGCTTATACAGCATTTTTAATTCCACATTTTTTTCCATTTTTCTCTCATTAATCATATCGCGATCTGCGATAATACATACGTTATTTGCGTATACAAGCTTACGTTTAACAGAATACAGAAATTCAACTAGAAATTATTTTATAAGAACTCTTGTGGGGCCAACTTCTGTTTGTGCAGACATCTCGCCGAACTATTTTATCAGAATTTTGTTACGAAGCACATAAAGCGCTTTATCACGTCTCTCTCTTAACTTCGAGTAATATCTTCCCTTGCAGATAAAACGTTCCTAACCCATTTACGATCTTGCAGTAGAAATACAAAAATCTAGTAATCTAGAAATAAACTGTTTGAAATATAAAAGCCGTATTGAGAGAGGATGTAATATATAATATATATATCTTTGGTTTGGTAAAAAGATTTAATAAAAAATTATCGGTTTTACAGGTAGAAAGTTTCAAGTAGATTTGCAATATCATCTAAAAAGGAAGTTCTTTGGTGCGCCAACTCAGTTAATAATATGCCTGCAGTATATAAAGGATAAAGGTACCAAGCGAAAACGAAAAAGACCCGGTTAAAAGGAAGAGCTCATAATTTGAGATTAAAACACACATGCATACGTCACTACATATAATACACTCATACCCGTACACCCGCAGTGTGTTTAATAAGATATTTGTGGTCACTCACTGCACACACAATACAAGCATGCGTTTAATAAGATATTTGTGGTTAAATATGGAATTTATTGCGGATAAGCTGTAAATTAGATTATTTACAATTTGCCAAATAGCTTTTAATTATATTTACTTAAAAGTTTTTTACATTACTATAATTAACTCTTATCCTTCGCTTCTATTATATTAATTATTTGAGAGACATTGAAGTATAAAGTCCATACTTATAGAATATTTATCTGTGTGTAAAATATATTGTTTAATGATTTATTTATTATTTCTATTAATTATAACTTTAAAGGTTAATTGCCACGTGTTCTCACCGGGGATAACAACTTTACCTTTTTTCTCAGAAAGTTTTTTTCAACTCAACCCCGCAAAGTATTATTCATACCACTCGAGAAATAATTTTACTTGCACTTTTGAGTCCCCTCTCTCACGAACTCTCTTAAATTAAATCGGTAATACAATGATCCCGGGGACTGTTAGGCAATTTTTCATTTTTCTTATCCATAGTGAGACCTTCTATATGCCTCTAAGCGAACGTTGCACTTGGCTTGCTGATAAAACAATTTACACACCGGGAAGAATATTTATCTTGGCATTAAATATATATACGACTGGCGTAGTTAACATTTTACGAAATCTCAGGAATACTTAAGGAAGTTGCTCCCCATTTTCTTTTTCTTTTAAGGCCGCAATTTTCTTTAATTTACCCTTCACTTTTTAGATAACATCGATTCTAATTATTTTGAATTTTCTCTCTCTGTCTTCCTCTCTCTTGTTCATCTTCTTTAAAACTTAATAATAATTTGCATTAAAATCTGCTTGTTAAAAAAGATTATACATAAAAGCGTAATGCCTTTTACGACTTGCAAATGGCCGTACAAATGATGAACCTTAATTTCTTTTATACGATGTTTCATTCTTGTCGTTGTCTTTTCTTCTTTCTTTTCTTCTTCCTCTGTTCTTAAATTCTTTTTCTTTTTCGTAGTTGTTCTACTCTCTCTTGTTTTTCTTCCTTCTTCAGTTCTGAGTATCTCTTGACGTAAGAACTTCTGTTACGGTCATGTGAATCCATGAACTTTATTTTCGCACGAATGTTTACGTACATAACTTTACACCGTCTATATGCAGAAAGTAAGTAACGCATAAATTCCTCAAATACAATAACACGTATAGTAGATATTGTAAGAAATTAGCGACATGTCTCGCGTAGTGTATGATTGCTTTGCAATTGAAGTATCTGAGTTTGTTTCATTACAATTTACACTTGGAAATGTAAACTTCGCACAGAGAGTTGCTTGGATTTCCCACATTTCCAATTACTCTTTCTCACACGAGAGCCAACATTGGCGTTAATCAAGCTCCATGGCTCATGAATGAGTTCGCTAATAAAAATTAACTTGCGTGGTTAATAGTGATACTTCCCACGCACGAATATTGAATACATAAAAGTATTTTCGGGTCTGTGCAATCATATAAAAATTTACGTAAAAGTTTCCGATATATATCACTCTTAATTTACAGTTGAGATACGTATGCAAATTCCTGCACCTCCGCGCGGTTTTCCATTACGCGCATATGCAGCCGTAACCCAACACGCGTATATGCATGTTCACGACTGAGCATGACGCACCGTTATTAGGTGTTATGCTTTTGCCTGCAATAATTGTAAATAGGGATAGCGCTTGCATTATGACGGTCTCGGAAATATCAGCCGCGAAGTCAATTTATACAGACAACATGCATAAACCGCGCAATAGAACGTTAAATATATGCTTTTAGCGTCAAGCTATGTTTAGAAATATGTGAATTTTGGTTTTGTGTATATTTGGAAATATTATTTGTATTGATATTAAATTGTATAGATATTTAAGTGTAAAAATTAATGTCGAACAAATTAAATTCAAATAACCAGCAATATGGCTACAAAAGAAAATGCATAGTCGAGATTGTTCTAAGAAATATTAAATATTATGTGAGATTATTATATTAGTAATCGAGCTAAATAATAATAATGATAATAATAATAATAATATCTTTAATTTAGAAATGGCATAACTGCAATTTTTCAATTTTATGGTTACAAACTTTAGCGAAAACTCCCACTGAAGTACATATGTACACAACTGGTGACTATACCAATTGTTCAAAACGTGTGGAAAACACATTCTCTAACGAGCATGGAGGACATCGAAAACGGCCGAAACTTCAAATCGTGTTTACCCGAGAGAATGGAAATAAGCGGTGAGATCGTTCGGCGCTAAGTTAATAAAAACGAAATTGTCAATTTCGCACGTCGACGGTAGAACGTTGCAAATTGTTTTTTTACGAGTAGCTGTGAAATATTCAACATTGCGGATGCAACGTACTCAATATTTCATTGAATATTGTGTAATATAGTAGCTTCAATTATTTATTATTTTCAAAGTTTAAAAACTTTTAAAGTAATGTTAAATTTGATATGTCAAAAAAAGTATGTTAACTTATTTCAATAAATATATTTCATTATACATTTAATTGTGCTTAAATAAAATAATGTCTGTGTGACATTCACGATAATTTTGCACAGAGAGACGATGATTATTTTTGATGTGGTTTTATAAATTATTTAAGAACTGAAATCCATATTTCGTACACGCGAATCTTCCACCCACTCCTTTCAACATTCCCTGGATACATTTTATTTTGTACGGTCGATAGAGCTCAATATCATCATCAGATTCAATTTCAATCTACACAAAAATGTCCCAATAAATACCGAGTGGCAGCGAATTGTCAAAGAACTGGTGAGTAAAATAAGAAAAAAGGAACCATATTAAATTCGTTTTTGTACATACCATGCTCGCAGACTCGAAAAATTTGTCGTGCGGAACTAAGATGGATTGTTCGAAATTCTTGAAGAATAGCATCAAACTTTTAGTCAGTCATGCTACTTATAAGCTTGAACTTGACGTTACTTCAGTGAATACACATTGTAGTGCTGTGATCTAATAAGCGTTTCTCATTTACGCGAAGATAATCAATGCTTTATTTAATTTTGTCGTGACGCTAGCAGAATCTCACTTGTTAACAATAACAGTTTCCATTATGGTATCGTTGAGACAAGATAAATTAAATCGTGTTATTTTGATGACAATATTACAATGTTTATTGTAGTTAAAACTTTTTAAATATATCATTATGTTTACAATCACAATTCGTATGATGCATATAAAATTAATGGTTGCACGGTTCGTGATTTATTAATGTAGAAATTCAGTGAAAAACAAAAACAGGATTAAAGCAGGAGGAAAATTTAGAACGACAAGACTTTCGTAGAAAGACGCCACGTAGCAAGGAATGAATATTTATGTGAATCTGTTATATGGAGAATCATATGAGCCTACGGAAAAATATTTTAATCCTTAAAATAGTTTTCATGATGATTCTCGAGAATTGTATAATACACGTGCACATATCTCACTTGGTGAAATCGAGAATGCAAAGTAGATACAGAATAAAAGTATCAATCTCAATTCTTTCAATGACAGCGTAACTGATAGCAGTAAACACGGGCTAAATCCCGAAGGTGAGTTAGCTCGAAAGTTCTTAATGCAAAAACGAGTTTCGTTTCTTTCTGAAATCTTGCGGATCGTTTAGGCTCGATTTACTTATACGCGGGTTTAAATTCCACTTGAGATATATTATATACGCATCACCGAAATCCGCACACATTTTATCTCGTACGGTCGATGGCGCCCAATAAGATTGTTAGGTTCAATTCCAATTCGTTGGATATCTACGATAAACGGGAGGGTCTTCCAGCGTTGAGAGATGAAGAAAAAAATGTAGCAGAATAGAAGCTTAATTTACTTCTCAATTGTCTATGTTATCGAAAGAAGCAAATCGTCCGGCTGAAGTAATTGCTTGAAAATTATTTATTATTAAGCTGCCGCGCGACGATTAATCAAATTAAAAATTAATAATTTTATTTTAATTGACAATTGATCCTAATTGAAGTTTAATCATTTACAACGAGTCAAATAATTCCGATTACAGGGAAGATTTGTAGGTCAAGTTATGACTTATGAATACTAAATAAATGAATATTGAGAGGGAACTATTATTAAAGTAATTCAA